ATAATCAAGAACATCAACATTTTTTTTTGGAATTTTTTAGGTTAGTAGAAAGTTGAAAATAAAATCAAAATTCAAACAAAAGTAAGAAAATGACCAAACTAAACACTCTACATAACCAATTTTCTAAAATAAAGCAAATTAAATGATAAATTTGGTTAAAAATCACTACAATTATTTCAACACATTAAGGATCGTGAAAAATATTATTGTGTATTTTTTGGATTAAGGAAATGTTAAAAATAAAAGTTGTAGATCTCAAAGAGTAGAAGACAACCATCAAGTTTTGGGTCAAGCTTCAATCAAGCATAACTTCTTCATTTCTCAACGAAATCACGCAAAATTTAATTTAAAATTGTAAATCTCAAAGAGAAGAACACAACCATCATAATTAGAACACGAAATGATGAATCAAGCATGGAGAAAAGTGGCATGAAAGTCACGGATTTGTCACATATAACACAAAACTTCAAAAATCACATAAGCTTCAAATCAAACAATTAAGGTGTGCCATCTTTTTAGGACTTCCGGGAACAATATATGAATAAAATCATCACATCAAAATGCATTTAAATTTAAGCATGAGAGCTATGGAAGTTTAAGATCTCTTACCAAGTGGAAGAATGGTCCACTACCTTTCTCAACTTCCAGCAACAAAGAAACCCAAGAATATTGATCTTTGAGCTCCAAGGATGAAGAATCAAGAAAGAAATGAGAAGATGCACAAGTAGATTGAGAGAATTTGAAAAAACTTCAAAATAAGCTAGAAAATACAAGATCTGAAATGTGAGATTTATGAGGCATGTCTAGGGTTTGAGAGAGGTTAATAATGAATATATAGTGTGTCCAACAAGTTGCAAGGGTTAAAATTTATAGAGTGATGAGAAAATGAAAATTGGAAAAAATGAGGTATGTTGATGGATGTTGCATTTTGTGCATGTTTGAGGAGGCCTACCTTGTGTTTTGTGTTGCACATGGGCTCAGATTTACACCCTTAAAAGATAGTACAAGTTGGTAGTGGAATGAGAAAGATTCAAAGAAGTTGCTATTTTGAGGAAATTTGTACAATACAAGTGCATGGGCTTTCATGGGTGTATTTGAAAAGTTTCATGAGGTAGTACACGACCCAAATGAGTAATGGGCTAGATTAGAAACCACACAATTGCTTAAGAACTTAAATTGGCTGAAATTGCATCTTATATGACTTGAAAAATGACCAAAAGTGACCTAAAGTTCTAAATTCCATAACTTGATCAATTTTGATCCAAATAACATGAACCTTGACTTTTTGGAAAAGGAAAAATATATCCTACAACTTTCATGCTGATAACTTTTTGATTTTAGCCTTTAAGTCAGGGAAAAAAGGCCACGAAAATTAGAAAAAGTGGTTGAACCAAAGAACTTGTAAATTTTCACTAAGTATTAGAATTTTGGCATGTTGAAACACCCAACTTCTCTCTACTATAATTTAGTGAGTTCTCATCCAAACGAGACAAACATTGACTCTATAAAAAGAGGGAAGGAATATCTACAACTTTCATGTTTGAAGTATTTTGAAATGAGACCTCGAAGTACCTCAAATCTGGCCATGAAAATTGTTTCCTGAAGCTGATGCAAAAAAAAACTTAGAAAAAATTCTAAGTGTTGGTAAGTTTGAAATAGCCAACTTCTCTCTACCATAACTTGCTCAATAATCATTCAATCTTGATGAAATTGGTATGGTTGGAAAGATTGGAATGATAAGAACAACTTTCATACTGAGATTGCTTTAATTTAAAGCTTAAATTAATATGGAAAATGTCTATAAAGATAGCTGAAAATGCATGTAAACTTGCCATAATTAGAAACCTTAGAAAACCCTAATTTTGCCAAATTAGGTAAGTTTCCCCAATTCTTGATTTTTGATTATTCCTTTGATATTTCTTGATCAAATCACACACATTGGTCAATTTTGATATGTAGGACCTAATTTTGATCTCAAAAAGTCAGGAGTTAACTTTTGACTGCATAGTTGATTTTTCCCCAATTCAACTGATTCACAATCATCGGAGCAATTAGAACCCTTCTGAATAAAATTGATGATCAATCTTTCACCCATAGACACTTAGGGATATGTAAAAGACCATGGAATTAAGTTTTTCTCAAAGAATCAAAAATAAACTGATTTTTTCACAAACCTTAATTTTGACTGCAAATGTTATGAGATGATGTATCAAGCTCAAAACCCTAGTTCCTCTGAGCATGGTGGAGAATCTCTTGAACAAAGATGGCTTGTATGATAATATGAAGATAAAGTTTCAAAAATTTTGTTCAGTGATGAGTCACACACTTCAATTGGTCAAAACTTTTATTCAAGGAGGATGATAGGATAAATATGATTCACTTCAACACTCTTGACAAAGTTCAATCATCTGATGAAATGATGGACATATTGAGATGTCCTTGAGGCATAAGAAACCTTTTTAACTTGAGTAAACACAAAAATTAGGATAACTCATCCACCTTTATCTTAATTGTCAAATCTCCCTTCTGCTTGAAAAAGACCAAAAGAACAAGAACACCTTGATCCCATAATCATGAAATAACGCAATGCAAATGGTATGTATGATGATGAAGCATAAGCTTAAGATGTGAGACACAAGAGGAAAAATTTTAGAGTACAACAAATGGTTAGAAGAAGAAGCAAAGGTGCTAAACTGTAAATTGGGATCCACGTCGTTCAATTATCTTGGACTGTCAATTGGTGTTAAAACAAGATTGAAGGCAATGTGGCAACCAATATTAGATGTGGTGAGATCAAGATTGTCGAGGTGGAAAACCAAACAGCTATTGATTGGTGGTCGGGTGGTGGTATAAAATCGGTCTTATCATTTTTCTAGTCTATTTTTTATCTTTCTTCAAGGCTCCGGCAGGTATCATCTCTAATCTCGAATCACTCTTTAAATAATTTTATGGGGTGGGAGTGAGGAAGAGAGAAAAATAAAATGAATTAAATGGGATAAGGTGTGTTTACCTATAGAAGATGGGGGTTAGGTATAAAGAACTTTAGGGCATTTAGTCTTGCATTATTAGGTAAATGGAGATGGAAACTAAAAAGCAAAAGAACTAGTTTGTGGTATAAAGTCTCGGTTAATAGATATGGCGAGAGAGATGGTTATGTCATGGAAAATGGCAGTGATGCCTTTGTTTGTTGGCATGACATATGTAACCTAGACATTGGACCCGGCGAGATCCTTAACGATTGGCTTTCATCTAGATTAAAAAAGGAAATAGGCGACGGGATCGACACACGTTTCTGGCACGATTGGTGGGTTGGTAGAGGGAATCTTAAAAATATGTTCGAAGATTTATATCGACTGTCCTTAGATAAACGAGTGTGGGTAGAAGGGAGCGCAGATGGATACACAGTTAAAGAAGCTTATAGAGCCATTATATCCAAGTTACCTTCTGAGCTTAATCGAAATCTTGTAAGAGCTTGACATAAATCAATTCCCCCAAAAGTGTCTTTGTTCGCTTGGAGAGTCTTTCAAGATAGAATTACTTCTAAAATTAACCTAGCTAGAAGAGGAGTGATTTCTCAAGAGGATACATGTTACACTAGTGGTTGTGAAGAAGAAGAATCGACGTCACATCTTTTTTTTGAGTGACCGATTTTTTCAAATGTATGGAGCAAAGTTTGCCACTGGTTTGGAGTAATAACACCATCACATAATGATAGATGCCAGCATCTGGATCAGTTCACAGAACTGATTATTAGAGACAACTCGGCTTCAAAGCGAGTAGTTGTGGTGTGGTTCGCCTGCATATGGAGCATTTAGAAGTCAAGAAATAGAAAGGTATTTTATAAAGTTGAAATTTACACAGATAAAATGTGTGAAAAAGTGAAGATGTTGTCCTGGAAATGACTGGGCATCAAATCTAACAGCTTTTGATATAATTTAACTCAATGATGCCTGGATCCTTTAGCATGCCTTGGCATGGTTCGCAGATAGAGTTATAAAATCTGATGGTTTTTGTCTTGATTTTTGGGTGAATTGCTCTAGTATATTTTAGTTCCAGTTGAAGTGCTCTAGTGACGGGGGCAGTGCATCTTCGTTGAATTTGTAAGCAACTAGTGAGAATTTTGGTTAGGGAGTTCCAAGTGAATTTGTTTACATTAATTTGTAATAGGTATGGAATGTCTGTATTGGAAGCTCATTAGCACCTGCTGAGTATGTGCAGTATAATGGAAGGATGCCCTATAAGACTCATTATATTATTTTGACAAAACATCGAGGAACGAACTCATAAGTTGCGAGTATGTACAATATACTGGATGCCATCTAAGACTCATTACATTATTTTAACAAAACATTGAGGAACAAACTCAGAAGTTGGTTTTGGTGCGGCAGATTGTGTCAGGGTGTGGCGCTTATTAAGGTGTGGCGCTTATTATCATCTTAATTTGGCATCTATTTTGAAGTGGTGGCCTGAGTGCCTGGGAGCGACTTGCACATTCCATTTTTAGCAGTCTTAACTGTTGGTCTTGGTTGTGTTGCTTTTTCTTATATCATTTTCTTATAAATAGATTGATAGATTGATTCGTTGATGATGGAGGTTAATACAGCATATCATAATTTGTTAAATGTACTTAACTCAATTTGATTCTGTAATTTGTAGGTGTTGGAATTCTGTTGTACTGATTGCACAGCTTGGGCCTATAAATATAGTTTGGCTTTTACAAACAAAAAAAAAAATTTACCTAGCTGGCTATACAAAAGCACTGCAACCAATAAAGAGATCACATGCAGAAAAAGTGACAAGCCATTGATACTGTCAAAAAACAAAATAGCAACAAGAGCAAGCCAAAAACAAGCAATGACAATAACACAAGGATTGATTGATTGAATTCATATATGAACTATGTGAAACATTCAACAATGTTGCGTCTGCATATCATTATGAATAGGTAGCATGAGTCAAACATGCTATCTTTCAGCCTAAATCTTAAAGATGAAATCAACCTAACGGAAATAAATGGATACTAGAGGGATATCAACATCATTATCATCCTCATCCTCACATGCAATAACCACATCCAAATGACGACGGTATGGAGGGATCTCCAACTTAGCCACTTCCCTTCCCAGATCTACTATTTTTTTGTCTATTCGCTCCTTGTGCCTTGGGAACATGCTATTGTAGAGCAAACAATTTCCACACGAAATACTATAAGCATTCAAGCCTTTAGCCTTCAGCCACTGAAGAACTTCCCTCAGGGTAGGGTTGTTTCCCAGAGTCCATCTGTCCCAAACTGTCCAACTCAACTCTTGATGTTTAATAACCTTTGGTGGGACTGGCTCGGCCATCGAAAAGAGAGGCAATGCTAAGTTCGCAAATGTATTTCTATAGTCTTCAACTTTGTGGCCCCCATCCAAAACTTTGTACAGCTCCAAGCAGACAAGACCAGTGGCCATGGCAGTTGAGGTTGCAATTGCAGGAATAATCCGTCCAGCAATAAATTTGGCTTTAAGCTTGTCAACCTCAGGAATGCTATAATTCCGAGCCCTCATATTTGCAAGCCCGGCAATCACATCCATATGGTAGTTTGTATCATCATCCTGCAGTTTTTTTAGCAGGAAGTCAATTTCTTAGTTCATAAAAATTGTACAAAAAACTTGAACTCAACACAGAATGAAAGGTCCATATACTCAGTAACAATCCAATTTCAAGCAAATACAACAAAAAAAAAACCCTGCCAAATCCAGAATTTTTAAATGTAACTGTCACATATGAACAATTTCAAGAATACAAACACTTAATTAGCAAGAGGCTATTTAGCTAGAGGCTATTTAGCTAGTTGCAATTGTAATTGAGGAAAAACAGACCTTCTCAAACTGAATTGGATTCATCCTGAATGTTGGGGTCAAATTTGTCCGGCACCTCTCTAACTTGATTATTAGATCATTAATAACTTTAGCATCGTCTACAGATGCAGCGGAGAGACTAGTGGCTTTCTCGTCTGTCACTACTTTCACACCTTCCTTAGGCTGAAAGTCAGGTACAATCACCCTATCAACTGCATCAGCCACCTTCCTAGAGTTCTTAACCCAGTCAGGGATTGTTATACCAAAAGTTTCTGAGCGTAAAATAGCAGCAGCCATCACAAAATGTAGATGACTCAGATCAGAGGTCGAAAACTGCAGTGGACGAGGAAATCTTTTTGGTGCAGACCAGAAAGGAGCTCCGGTACTAGTTGCAGCATCTTCAGGAAAAGTAAAGGCCAACTGCTTCACCCGGTTAGCAAAATAATCTTCAAACCTGTAGATAAAAATGGTTGGTTATAAATGGACAGGAATTAAAATGCTCCCATAACATTATTAAAAGAGAACAAGAGCAGAAATTATAGTAGGCGCGTACTTCAGCCGCGCCCAGGTAATACAATCTTCAAAAGTTTCACATTTATCCCTGTCCAGGCAATCAAGAACACGCTCTAAATTATCCCTTGCTTGAGCATCCCCGGCTTTCCTCATTGCAGTAGTATATTCACTTGGGTTGGACAAATATGTATTTACTTCTGCTGGAGTTTTCTCAAGCAATCCGTCAAACTCTGATCGTGCCCATGTTAGGCAATGGTCAATATTGTGTGGGAATGAGTGCACAGTACACATTGGTGCCTGTTTCTCAGGAGGATCTCTTGATGCACCATAGTTTTCTGTCAGATGGGGAACAACCATCTGGGTATTGCATTTTGCTCCAAGAGTCCCAGACTCAAGAAGAGGCTTTTGGAAATACAAGCATCTCTGATCAACGTACAGTCTTGCATTCACATTGTCCAGCGCATTTATCACAACACCCAAGTTTTCCCAGAAGGTATCATGAAACACATTTTCAGTTTCAGCACTGACACGATTTTGTAGAGCTTCAATATTGAAACTAGGATTTATAGATGCAGCAGCTGAAGCAGCAACTGTGGACTTGGCCTGTCCAATATTCCAATCGCGAAAGAGGAACTGTCTGCTTAGATTGCTCTTCTCTATCACATCATCATCAGTAATTGTTAGCTTTCCCTGATCTCCACAAGAAACTCCCATAAGAGCAAGATTTTTCAAAAATTCACACCCCAAAGCACCAGAGCCAACAACAAACACTTGAGAGTCCTCTAATTTTTTTTGTAACTTCCGTCCAAAGACTGAAATTTGTGCATCATAACGACTATTAACTGGTCTGAAATCATCTGAGTCCAGTGGTTCTGAAGGAAGTGATTCCACAGAATCAAAATAGAAAAACTGAGGAACAAAAGTTTAAACAAAAATTAATAATGTAGGTCATAACAAATGACGAAGTGAATTATAACAAACTTAATAATGCTCCTTAAGAGGGAATGGCAAATAATTATAAAACTCCTAAACAATTTAAACATAATTCACTTATATTATCATCCCTATAAATTAGGCAAAAACCAAAGTTCCACTAATTAACTACCAAGCATAATGACACATCAATACTATTTTGTAAAAATGTTAAAATCAAAGTTATTAATATTGGACTATGGCATAAAGATCCCAAAAATACCATAAATTTTGATGATTTATGTCGACAATGACAAGATAAACAATACACATTTATAAATGCTCACAAAAAAAGAGAACCGCGGAAATATAATAATCATTCACAATCGTGAACTTGGTGCGTGAAAACCCAAAAGAAAAATAATAGTCAAAACAGAAACTGGGTTTGACATTAACAGAACACAAATTAAACAAAGCATCCCATTGGCATAAGAAGCTGGAGTATAGAGTAATGAGTGTAGCAAATTGAGGGAGTTAGCTCCTTTGTTATTATTTCCTTAAACTCACCACATCTATTACGCTTTATTGAGGCTGATAGAAGTGTGACATTTGATAGAACATTATGGTGTAGTTTGATCCAAGAAGCCGGCCTTACTTAGTGTGATAAGGTTTGGTTGTTGGCAACATGGATCAAATTACACCATAATGATCTATCAAAGACTGTTTCTATCAAACTTGCTAATCTCGAGATCTAGCTTGATAGTTTCTCTTATAGTTTACCAGGTCTTCCTCTCTACCTCTAGTTGTTTGACTACCTCTAGTTTGTCTAACTCAATTTGTATTAAATCTTATTTGGCTATACGCTGTAATTTCTTAAACTTGCTTAAATATCTACAACACCACAATGATGTTGTTGTCACCTGAGTAGCTAATGGTACCAAAAACCAAGGCCCTCTTCATAAAGGATGAATGCAAGTGGAAAGGATGACAGATGTTGATGTGAGCATCTCCAATGGAACAAAAATAAGTAACCCATTCCCGGTTGCCTAACCAATTTAAAGTGACCCCACAATGCTACATTAACTTTAAGCAATCCTTACGCAATTCATCTAAATTTAGTTCCAATGACTACAAAAATTAAGTAAACTGCACTTTTATATTAAAAATAATTTAGCAAAAATATGTTTCAAATTAAAATACTAATTCATTTATTTTAAACAATACATCACAATATATTAGTCATTAAAAAACATATAAAACACATATGCCTATGAGATATATCACTGGTTATAGGAATGTCATAGCCAATATCCAGTTTCATTTACAAGAACAATAAAGTTCAACACATGCCTTGCTCAACTGCCTGAAGGTGGTTAATTTGTTTAGAAAACAGATTGGATAAAGATTGTTTTGTCCATTGAGTACATAAACAATTTAAGGAGCAGCAAAATAAAATATTAACTGAAGGAGGTAGAAACCAAACACAAACATTGATCCGCTAACTACTAACAACTTATCAAAAACTATTTCAGTTATGCTTGTTTTATTTGCACAATACTTAGTGTTCTAAAATAGCAGAAAATATAATGAAACAGTTAAAAACATACGTACTTGAAAAAGTGGATGAAACTTTCCAGAGCATGCTTTGACAACCTCTTGTCCAACAATTCCACCAAACATGGCAGCCATAGGGTTCAGTACAGCCCTAGCACCAAAGGCAAATTGTCGCAAAAGATTTGGATTTATATCATCTATTTTCTCATCACCTGAGCTGTCATTCATATTACTAGCAATGGCTATAAGCTTTTGAGCATCATCCTCTACTCCAGGAACAGGGAAGTGGCCTAACTCAGAAATGAACTTATCCAAAGCCTGGAATGCTAAGTGAAGGAGAGGTGGGCGATCAAACTTTGAAAAATCACTCAGAAGAAAATCACCTGGATCACTGAGTGCTTCCCTTAGTGGCTTAAAGTTCAATACCTTTTGTTGCTTGACTTGTGTGACAATACCACCTTTTTCATAGCTGCCATAATTTGTGGTGTCTTCTTCAAGGTTAAATGAATAAGCTCTAGCATTTGTAATCTTCCTTGGCTTTCCGTCATTCAATTCCTTCATGCCATGAACCTCAGAGAATACAACAAAATCTCCATCCTGAAACTCAAGCCTCTCGTCATCAACAAAGGATACTAGAGCAGGATTGTCATTACTGACAGATGCAACTATGCCAGTATGGGGTTCCTCTCCATCAACATCAAAAACCGTAAACTCAGGCCCAAAGTCACAGAAGACAGAACCAAAAAGGCCTCTAACTTCAGTTTTAATAAAAGCAATAGGAGGTTGATGGCTGTGACAGTAATCATTGAACTCAATGGCTTTCTCAAGACTAACATCGGTAAAAACAACAGCCTACAATAATAGAAAATAAACAATTCTGTAAATACATATATCCAATTTAAATCTATTCTAAATAAACTACATATTAAAGCACAAACTTTATAAAAAATTACACCATTATCCAACAATTATAGGTTATGTAACATAAACTTCGGAATTAGGCAATATTGTCAATCGTGGTAGCAGAAAATAGAGGATTATTACAATTCTACTACGCAATAATGCCACTGTAGCCACTATTTGACAACATTTTTGTACTGAATATCATAAGTGGAACAGTAGTGGTTTGTCCACGTTCCACTATGCAACAGTGCTATTATAGCTGCTATTAAACAACAGAATTATGCAAAACAACACAACAGGGCTTGATGGAAAGGAGCAACAAATCAATTATACAGAAAGGTGTGTGAATGTCTGTATTTTTATATGCTATGAAAAACTAGAAAGTTCTATAAACAATAATAGCTACTAGCATACTAGATGTGACAACATTTTCAGCAGCTACATAGTCCTTTCTAATAAAATTATAATCTCAAGAAATAATGAATAAATAAACAGACGTACATAGATGTGTGTGTGTGTGTGTGTGGAGAGTAGAAAGCAGTAGATATACTTGGAAATCAGCAAGTTGCTCTTTTGTCAGCTCAGATGTCAAGCTTTGCACAACCACTGCATTGTTCAGCTCCTGCAACTTACCAACAGAAGCCAATGCTCTATTTTTGCCAACATCCTTCTCCGAAAACACAAAATTGCTAGACAGATCCCATAGCTCAACAGTTCTCACATCATGCAAGGTAACAGACTTGACACCAGCAAGAATGAGATTCTTCGCTGCACGTAGTTTAACTTTATTAGAATACAAAAGAAGATCAAACATTTTGGGACTAACAAATTCTTGAAATTGAACTTAAATATCAACTTAGATAACACAGCATTAATAGAATTGTTCAACTATCACTATGTATTATAAAATCTTTAATTAGCCAAAACAAGATATAACACAGGTGATTACTAATGACTGAGATATCAATACCCCAAAAGAAGATACAAAAACATTAAATTACTGAAGCATGCGTGATGATTCCTATGCCAAATTAATTGCCTAAGTTAGCAATGTAAAAATTGCAATACTAACTCCAAGAGCAGTAAACTATTATATATTGAAATCTCTCACCACGAACAATAAATTGCAAGAATATGAACATTGATATCCCAATCACCGGCTCAAAATTCTAGGTGGCAGTGAAGATAAATTACAAAATCTTGTTATCTAAGAAGCATTTGTGAAAGCGACAAGAAATGTAGAAGGAATACTCATCCAGAGTTTTACAAAACTATATCCATTGATCAATAGACTAATGTAACATATATATTAAAGTAACAACAACAGCTTGAAAAGCAATCAACAAAGATCCATGACCAGTGACAACATTACCAATCTCAGCGCCAAGACCCTGCATCCCAGACACAAGAACCCTAGCACCAAAGAGCCTACGCATGGTCTCTCGACCATACACAGCAAGCTGCCTGCTATGCAGATCTTCATCAATATCCGTGGAATTAGCATCTCCCAAAGTCATGATGTAAGTCCCTCGTTCAAGAGTCGTCTCACTATTGCTGTTGTTATTACTACTACCACTTAGACTCCGGTCGCTATTCACAACCGAATCCTCAGTTCCGACCGCAACAATCAGATTCTTCTTCTTCGGAAGAAAACTATCAGTAGCTGCCTCTTCCACAACTACTCCTTCGCAGTGTCTCTTTCTAGGAAGCATATAGTGCAATAAGCTGCTGAACAACACGCCACAAAACCAAAAAGCGATCATCATCACAACAACAAGAAAAGCAATCAAGAGCGAACAATTAACACCACAATTAACAACACCGCAATCGAACTCAATACGAACATTAGTAAAGATCAACTGAACAATCACTAACAAAAACCCTAACCCTAACCCTAATTCTGGGTTCGTTAACATGATTACGATTCGATTTTGTATCAAAAGAACGAATCAAGAAGAGAACGAAAAAGGAAAAGAGAATGAAGAAGAGAGAAGCAACGTACCGATTAGAACTTCGAGGAGAAGAAGAAACGAAACGAAGAATCGAATCGTTTGGGTTTCGCGATTGCAATGTGCGAGTGCTCTCACTTTCTTGGAGTTTTTTGGTTTTATAGTGTAGAAATGAGAAACGCGAGATTAGAAAGAAAAGTTTGGTTTATGAAGTGAGAGGGGTATTTATGGATTTTTGTTATTTTAGGGTTTGGGATTGCGAATCTAGAGATAGGACATGTGCTAGTGCTACTTCCATTTCTCTTTTTTTCTTTGGTCTTCACAGGGAGAGAGAGAGAGAGAGAAGAGTGAAAGAACATAAGAACGTGTTTGTGATGGATAATATCATACTAGTACTGTGAGGTGTAACGCGTCGTCGTTTTGCGTTGTGATGGCATATGAACGACATCGCGTTAGGGCAGTCCATAAATCGGGTTCGAACGAGTATCCGATCCAACGGTGGATAAAAGATCCGTTTTAGACATTTTTCCCTGCGTCGTTTTGTGTTTTCTTTTTTGACTGAGTGTCGTTTACATTAAAATCTACGTCTAATTGAGTAATGGTTTAAAGTTTACTATTATGATAGCCTCACCTTAAAAAAGAAAGGAAAACACTTAACTACCTCTAACTATAGAAAATTATCTAATTAATTTATTATTATCTTTTGTATTATTGTTTATGTGATTTTAAATATATATATTATTTAAAAGTCATTTTAAAATATCAATATATAAAATGGACTACTTTAATATACTTATCAATTTTTTTATTTATATCACTACAAGAAAAAGTTTCTCCAGCCACGTGAAGTTGCCACGTGATTTTCATGTGGCTAAATAAAACCAGTTGCGACGTGAAAATCACGTGGCAACGTGTTTTAATAATATAAAACTGATACATTGAGTGTGTGAGTTACGTTTGTATATTAAAAAAAGTAGCGACGTGGGATTCACGTCGCTAATTAAAATATGACAAAATTTAATTCAGTCACAACTTCCAAGACACGCGTGTGCAGGCTTTGAAGGAAGGGATAGCAGTTATAAACTTGTTGCGACGTGAAAATCACGTGGCAACGTTGCGGCGTGATTTTCACGTCGCTAAGTGGTTTATGCAATTTATGAAAACGTTCCACAACGTTCTGTTTGTCTCACTTCTTCATCTTCAACCTTCACAAAAAACTTTCTTCCCCACTCTTCAACCATACCCATTTTCTTCCCAAAAAAATTTTCTTCTCCACTCTTTTATTCCTACCATCTTCATCCATTTTGTAAGGTAATTTCAATTTCATGTTTTATATACTTTGTTAATTGTCTTTGATGTGTTATTTTGAGTATAAATTTTTTTCAATTTTTCTTTGAATAGAGAAGGAGAATATAGAAGTATAGATTGCAAATAGGGACAAGAAGATTGAAGGAGTTACAAGATAAAAGGTATGTCTTGAATTTTTTTTTTTTTGAAATTAGTATATTTTCTGATTTTGATTAATTTGCATTGGGTTAAAATTGTTGAATTTGGGTTATATATATATTTTCTGTATTTGAGTTAAATGTTAGGTTTAATTATTTAGTTTATAATAATTATTAATTATTAATTTGTGATGATGAATGAGTTTAATTATTTTAGGAGTTTAAGTTTTTTTATTTTTAGGAGTTTATAAGTTTTTAGTGTTTAAATTAAATTTTTAGGAGTTTAATAAGTTTTTAAATTTTTAGGAATTTATAAAATTTAGGTGTTTAAATTAAATTTTAAGTGTTTAAAAATAAATAAATATTTTTAGGAATTTATAAATTTTAAGTGTTTAAATTAAATTTTTAGGAGTTTAATTAGTTTTTAAATTTTTAGGAGTTTATAAAATTTAGGTGTTTAAATTAAATTTTTAGTGTTTAAAAATATTTTTAGGAGTTTATAAATATTGTTGAAAGCATATATTTATCTTTAATTGTATATGTTTAGGATTATTATTAAGTTGATTAATTAATATTTCTAATTAAATAGGTTTTGATTATATAAATTTGCAGTAAATGGAATATTATATGTATTATCGTAGTTGGATGTACGATAGACTATATCCAGGAAGACGCGCACTTAAACCCAATTTTATAGACGGGGTTAATGGTTTTATCGCGTGGACGTTTGCCCAGGAATGTTGTCGAAGTGAAGGAGAAGTTAGGTGTCCTTGTCTTAAATGTGGTTGGAGATATATAATTAGTGACCCAGAGGAAATAACACGTCATTTGCATAGGAAAGGTTTCATTGAAAATTATTGGGTTTGGACGCATCATGGTGAAACACTGCCGAGTAATGTACCAGAAACTAGCAACACAGATGCTTCAAGTAGTCAACCGGTTATGCAACCACCTATGGAATTTGAAGAAAACTTTAATCTGATAGGTGGCATGGTTGGTGATGCTTTTGGTGTTAACGTGACCTATGATCAACCTGAAGACTTTGACGGGGAAGAGTTGCCGAATAAGGAAGCGCAGAGATTTTATCAGTTGTCGAATGAGATGAATACGCTGTTGTTTGAGGGGTCATCAGACTCAAAGCTATCAATGTGTGTTAGATTATTGGCCGCCAAGTCAAATTGGAATGTTCCTGATCAGTGTTTGGAGCACTTCGCAAAAATGATGTTGGACTCAACTGCAACGAAAGACAACTTGCCTGCGAGTTTCTATGATGCAAAGAAGTTGGTGTCGAAGTTGGGTTTAAGAGTAAGAAAGATTGATTGTTGCACTAATGGTTGTATGTTTTTTTATGACAACGAGTTTGGTACTCAAGATGGATCGTCAGAGGAATGTAAGTTTTGTCATAGTCCAAGATATAAAGTTCGCAATAGAGCCATTAACAGTAACCAAAAACGGGTAGCAGTAAAGTCCATGTTTTATCTTCCTATAATACCAAGGTTAAAAAGAATGTTTTCTTCAATGCACAGTGCAAGTCAAATGACATGGCATCATACAAACAAAACAAGCCCAGGCAATATGCGACACCCATCTGACGGCCATGCATGGAAGCACTTTGATGAGGTACATCCTGATTTTGCCGCTGAACCTAGAAATGTCAGGCTTGGATTATGCTCTGATGGTTTTGCTCCATATGTCCAAGCGTCCGGAAGTGCGTATTCTTGTTGGCCAGTTATTGTAACCCCTTACAATCTCCCTCCTGAGATGTGCATGACAAAACCATACATGTTTTTGACGTGCGTCATTCCAGGACCGTCGAGTCCAAAAACCGGAATTGATGTGTACTTACAACCTTTAATTGATGATTTGAAGAGGTTGTGGAATAATGGAGAATGAACTTATGATATATCCCGTAAACAAAACTTTTCTATGCGAGCTGCCTTGATGTAGACCATTAACGACTTTCCAGCATATGGCGTGTTGTCTGGTTGGGGTACGCATGGTAGAATGGATTGTCCGCATTGCATGGAATGCACTAAGGCGTTTACATTGGGAAAAGGGGGGAAAAGCTCGTGGTTTGACTGTCACCGCAGATTCCTACCATCAAATCATCCCTTTAGAAAAAACAAGACAAATTTCAAAAAGGACGAACGGGTAACAGATCTGCCTCCGCCTCGACTGGCACCAGTTGCTATATGGAACCAAGTTTGTGAACTTCCAAAGTTTACAGATACTGGCAAAGCTTGTAGAATTGAAGGATATGGGGTCACACATAATTGGACAAAAAGAAGTATATTTTGGGACCTCCCGTATTGGAAAGATAATTTGTTGCGCCATAATCTTGATGTTATGCATATTGAGAAGAATTTTTTTGATAACGTATTTAACACAGTGATGGATGTTAAAGACAGAACAAAAGATAATGTGAAGGCTAGACAAGACATGGAAATTTGGTGTAATCGTAAAGAGTTGGAATTGAAGCCTCAACCAAATGGAAAATTATTTAAACCCAAAGCTTGTTTCAGTCTGACCCCCCAAGAAGCTAAAGCGGTTTGTGGATGGCTAAAAGGTTTGAGAATGCCCGACGGGTATTCTTCAAATTTAGCAAGGTGTGCTGATGCTAACACTGGGAAGTTGCATGGTATGAAAAGTCATGATTGCCATGTTTTTATGGAACAATTGCTACCAATTGCGTTCGGTTCTCTACCCAAACATGTGCTTAATCCACTCACTGAAATTAGTCAATTTTTTAGAGATATTTGTGCTTCCGCTTTAAGAGTGGATGACATCATTAAGTTGGACCAAAATATTCCAGTCATTCTCTGTAAGTTGGAACAAGTATTTCCTCCTGGTTTTTTTGACTCCATGGAACATCTACCTGTGCATCTTGCATATGAGGCTTATCTAGGAGGACCTGTTCAATATAGATGGATGTACCCGTTTGAAAGGTTCATGGGTGATTCAAAGCGATCAGTGAAAAATAAAGCTAGAGTAGAAGGATCAATATGTGCACATTACTTGCATCGAGAAACTTCACATTTTTGCAGTCACTATTTCAAGCACTTGATGTTAACTCCAAGAATCATAAGGAATCCTGTAAATGTTATCGAAAGAAGTCAGTACACCTTATCAGTCTTCGGGCTTCCAGGTCGTCCCTCTGGAAAGAAGGGTGAGCATTGGTTGACCCAATAAGAAATGCAATCTGCACATGTTCATGTCTTGATCAACTGCATTGAAGTTAAACCATATCTTGAGTAAGTATAATCCAACTTCTTAATTTTATTTACAGTGTGAATATATAAAATTGATTACCTTGAAACTTATAGTGTATTTCTTTTTAGGGAATTTAACAACGCCTACTTTGAAAGTACCGGTGTACAATCAATATCTGGTGTCATTCATGCCCAATTTCCAACATGGTTCAAGGAGGAATTGTATAGGGTTGTTGCACCGACTCCAGAAATACTCCATTTGAGAAACTTGTCTAATGGCCCTCGTCAAAGTGCAAACAAATGGCACACATACTTCGTGAATGAATATAAATTTCACACTCATGAATGGACTGAAGGGAAAAAAACCATAAACAGTGGCGTATTTGTGAAAGGAGTTACAGATGGTGGTGAAGATGACTTCTATGATTTTGTTAAACATATCTACGAGTTAGTATACAATTACTTGGACTCGGAAAATAAAGTTGTCTTGTTTTATTGTGAATGGTATGATCCAACTAGAGGCACAAAAATAGATAAGACATATGGTACTGTTGAGATTCAAATGGACCGGAGGTACAAAGAGTACGACCCTTTCATAATGTCAAATATTGTTAGGCAAGTTTATTATGTTCCTTATCCTTCATTTGTGCCACGTAAACGTCGGTGTTGTGTTGTAATAAAAACAAAACCATTGGGTCATATTGAAACTGACGATCTAGTGGAGGATGTTGCTTACCAAGTGGATGAAGTTGAAGTTAATGATGTGATTCCAGATGAACACACTACAAGTTTGTCTGATACAATGGTTGAGGGGAATCAAGTTGATGAGGATGAAGATCATGAAGATCATGAAGATTCTGGATCTGAGGATAGTATCACATGAGATGACGATGATGAAATGGATGACGAGCATGATGATTCAGAATAGTGAACCTATATTCATGAGAATTGTGTCTTGTAATTTTACTTAACGAACCATTTATTGAATGATTTAATGAATAGGTATTCATGAGAATTGTGTCTTGTAATTTTACTCAAAGAACCATTTATTGAATGATTTAATGAATATGTATTCATGAGAATATGTATATGTTAACTTGTATTTTCTTTTATTAGGTAAAAATGCCACCCAAAGATAATAAGGGTAAAGGTCCTAGTGATAGTGGTAGGAAGCCCAGGCGTCCAAGGGTAGTAGTATGCCAGTCACCTCACTCAGCCACGTGTCCTCCCCCGCAGAGTCAGGTTCATCATATGTCCATGGATAGTACTATGCCATTTACTCCATTACTATCATCTCAGAGTCCTCTTCAGTTCCCATCTGGGAGTACATGTTTTATTAGTCCATCTGGGGCCCCACCTGGTTTACCATTCCAGCAGTCACGGGTGCCCTCATCCTTCCAGCAGACACATGTGCCCTCATCCTTCCAGCAAACACAGGTGCCATCCTTCCAGCAGACACAGGTGCCCTCATCCTTCCAGCATAGTTTTTCATTTCCCACACAGATGCCCTTATTCGTGCAGCAGCCTGGAGGATCCAGCACCCCACTTCCTACCCAGATGCCCCCATCCGTCCAGCAGCCTGGAGGATCCACC